CGAGGGTAACTACCACAAATCACAACAGAAGTTATTCATCGTCTCTTTAATACCTCTATCTGGTGCTGAAGAAACTTTTTCTGGGCCTCCAGCTGACAAGCTGTCAGATTTGGATCCCTGCCCGACCTCTCCCCATAGGCCACGTTGGCTCCAGGGACAAACATATAAGGTGGAAACTGAGAGAAAGACAAGTTTGTGTAAGACTTAAGAATACTCAAGAGTTCACTTCAATTGCATGCCTTTTCAATGAGAGTCTGCATGTATTTATATTCCACTTCAGATTACATCAGGGAATGAAATCCCTATTTACAAGGCTATTAAAAATTCAAAAATTACAATAGAATATACAAAGGAAACATATCACAGAAACAACAAACATTTAAAGGAGTTGTAACCTAAGCTAACTCTTCGTAGATAAGAGTTTAGGTTGATTACAGCCTCCTAAAGTCACGAGAACAAGAATCAAACACTGACTTGGTCTAACATCCCCCCCCCCCCCCGGGCAAGCTGACAAGCGGAGGAACAATTGGAAGCTTGGAAACAAGAAGCTTGAACCATGCTGATGACAAACCTTTTGTGAACAAATCAACAACCTGATCTTGAGAACATATGAAATTAACAAGTAACTCACGTCGAACCACATTCTCTCGAACATAATGATAATCAACCTCCAAGTGTTTTGTCCGTGAGTGAAACACGAGATTAGAAGCTAGGGCAATGGAGGAAATATTGTCGCACCAGATTGTTGGTCTGTCAAGATGCAAGTGTAAGTCTCGGAATAGAGACCTGAGCCATGAAAGTTCTGCAACTGTGTAAGCAAGATGTCTATATTCAACTTCTGAACTCAATCTACTAACCGTCTTCTGCAGCTGTGTAAGCAAGCTGTCTATATTCAGGATTTCCAGCATAATCAACTTCGGAATAAGCCGTGAGATGTGCAGTACCGGGTTTATAGACAAGACCATGATTGTATGTGGCCTTAACATAGCGAAGAATCCTCTTGACTGCCATCCAGTGTGTATTCTTTAGAGAGTGCATGAACTGGCATACCTGGTTCATAGCGTAGGAAATGTATGGTCTCGTGATCGTTAAATACTGAAGTGCACCCATAACACTTCGGTACATCTCTGGATTGTCGTGTGGCTCACCATCATAAACACTAAGCTTGTGACCACAAGGAAATGGAGTAAAAATCAGTTTGGCATCCAAAAAGTTTGTACGTTTTAGCAAATCCAAAGCATACTTTGCCTGATTGAGATGTGTTTGTACCATACTTGACCAATCCCGAAACTACTGAGCACCGGTCAACGTTATACCGTCAAGGACCCAGAAGAGTTTCCCTCCAACTAGGAGGCCAATCATAGCGCGACACGTGTCGACATCAGAAGCCAATCATAGCGCGACACGTGTCAACATCAGAAGCCAATCATAACACGACACGTGTCATTGTCAAAATGAAACTAGAAACTCTCTTCATAAATAGAGATCATTCTCTCACAATATTTCATAATGTCATTTGTACTAAATCATTCACTTGTACTCACTAAAGGAGAACTTGAACCTATGTACTTGTGTAAACCCTTCACAATTAATGAGAACTCCTTTACTCCGCGGACATAGCCAATTTGGGTGAACCACGTACATTTTGTGTTTGTTTCCTTGTCTCTATCCATTTACATACTTATCCACACTAGTGACCGGAGCAATCTAGCGAAGGTCATAAACTTAACACTTTCTGTTGTACCAAAGTCCTCACTGATTTTGTGCATTAACAAGATGCATTTGTTGACCTCAGTAATTAACTTCAAGCCCTAGAAAGTAATGAAGAGGACCCAAGTCCTTCATTGAAAACAAAGTCCCCAATTTCTTGATCAAGGTGGACATTTGGCGATGACTATTTCCTATCAACATGATGTCATCCACATAGATCAATAAAATCAAATAAACACCATGATGATTGAAAACAAATAAATTGTAATCACAAGTGGAAGCTTGAAACCCTAATTGAAGTAGAAACTCTGAAAAACATTGGAACTATACTCATGGGGCTTGTTTCAAGCCATATATGCTTAGCTGCAATTTGCACACATGATTTGGATGCTGCTTATCAATGAATCCAGTAGGTTTTCGCAAATATATGTCCTCTTTTAGAAATCCATGCAAGAAAGCATTATGTACATCCAATTGCCTTACATGCCATTTTTTTGAAACTGCTAAACTAAGGACAAATCTTATGGTGATGTGCTTGACCACAGGACTAAAGGTCTATGTGTAATCAATTCCAGGTTGTTTATGAAACCCATTGGCAACCAACTTGGCATTGTGCCTCTCCATCGAGCCATCTGCCTTTTTTTTTTAATAATCTTAAACACTCATTTGTTTGGCAGCAAATTCATTTGGGGATGATAAGGAACATGTTTCCAAGTACCACGGTGTTGCAATGCATTAAAATCTTGAACCATGGCATCCCTCCACGTTTGATGCTTGGTAGCCTGACTAAAACACGTCGGTTCAACATAAGAAAGATCAATAGAAACATGCAAGACATATTTAGGATTAGGCTTATGTATTCCAAACTGCGAACGAGTTGTCATTCGCTGCAGTGGCACATAGGGCTGAGTCAATTGTGTATCATCATGATCTGAAGATGGCATAGGCTGATTTATGTTTGGTTTATTAACTACTGCTAGCTCATTTAAATTGGAATTAGTGGAGATAAGGTTAGGTACAGGTATAGTGACTGGCGGATTGGTAGGATGGGATAATATGAGATTTTGTGTAAGGTTATTCGAATCAGGAGTGGTAATATTTGGTTAAGGCGAGGACACTACAATTTGAGTAGGGGTCAGCGAGTTGGTGGATGAAGTGGACATTAATATAGGAAATGTAAACAAAAGATTAGGAGATGTAACACTACCTGTGTGATCGACGTTTTCCAGCGAAGATGTGAGTTCCTTAAATGGAAAAGAGTCCTCATCGAATAGGACATGGCGAGACAAATAAATTCGTCTTGTGGACAAGTCCAAACATGTGTACCCATGATGGTTCAATGAGTAACCTAAAAACACACATGATTTTGACTGGGGTTGGAGTTTATTATGTGCATAAGGCACTAGCCAAGGAAAACACTTACACCAAAATACCTTCAACATCTCATAATTTGGAGATTTGGCAAACAACTTCTCATATGGTGACTTATGTGATAAAACTCGAGTTGGTGGTCTTTTGATTAAATAAGTTGCCGTTGAACAAGTATCAAACCAATATTTGTTTGGAGTGTGAGAATGAGAAAGCATGACAATACCAGTTTCGACAATATGTCGATGTTTTCTTTTCGCAAAACCATTTTGCTCAGGGTGTTTTGGACACGAAAACCTATGAGAAATTCCATATGTTGCAAGAAACTATTGAAAAACATGACTCTTGTACTCTCCTCCTTCATCACATTAAAGAGTTTTAATGGAAGTATTGAACATATTTTCCACTTTAGCTTTAAATTTGACAAATATTTCAAAGACTGAGAACACCAAACATCCGAATGTAAAATTTGCAAAGGAAATTCGGAAACAAACTCTGAAGCACTAAATGGTAGTTTTGTACTTTTTCCTAATGGACACGACCGACAAAACATTACATCAGAAGTACCATGAACTGGTACTCGTTTATTTGAAATTAAATACTTGATAATAGACAACGCAAGATGACTAAGAAGTGAATGCCATTTTTGAACCGAGACTCGAATGCCTACACACATTGAAATAGGGTAATTGAACTGTCCACCCCCAGAAAAAGGGTATAAGCCATTCTCACATCTCCCGTGGAAAAGCGTCTTTCGGTTCTTGAGGTATTTAACAAGAAAAAAAATGAGGAAAGATACGTAAATAACAGTTGTTGTCTAGGGTATATCTATGGGCAGAAATAATATTTGTTGAGGTAGTGGGACATCTTAGAATATTTTTCAATTCAAATGAGCAAGACTGAGTTCGGATTTTATTTGAACCAAGATGAGATATAGAAAGGCTAGTATCATTACCTACACCACCAACATTCTCATTACCGTTATACTATTTTGGATTGACCAAATTCTGAATGTCTAGTGTCACATGAGCATTAGCACCCGTGTCCAGCAGCCACTGTCCATAATGTTGCTTGTTGATGGTGATTAGAGCTGTGGCCATAGTAGTAAGCCGTTTTGCTGGAATTCGCCCTTCATATGCAACATTCATTCTATGGTAACAATCTACGGCAGGATGCCCTTGTTTTCCACATATTTGGCAGGTCAGTCTTTCTTATGTAGAAGTAAATTTCTCACCGTTACAGGTAGAGTTTGGCCCTTGATTGTTGTTGCGATGAAGGAACCCTCGCTGGTTGGCAGCACCACCACCACGTGCGGACGGTGACACACCGCATCCATTACCACGAAGTCGTCAATCATGACCTCTTGCAGTCAAAAATGCATTCACATGAGTAGCCTCCACAATAGAAGCAGCTTGCTCAACTATTCTCCTCTTCGTTGTCATCAGGAGAGCCTCAAGTATAGGGTACGTGATTAAAGTGTCATGTGCCTGTGCAACATTCACAATCATTTCATAGGCAGGACCAAGATTGTTTAAGATGATCTAGACGAGCTCATCATCATTCACCGGATTTCCAGCTAAGGCAAGGTTGTCAAAAATCGAGTTCATTTGATAAGGATAATCAGCAATAGACATATCTCCTTTCTTAGTTTGCATCTGTTAATTTCGAAGAAACAAAATGCGATTTTGGGACAAAGAAGCATATTGTTGCTCAAGAGCCTCCCATGTATCACGAGAGGATCTCTTGCTTGCCATGACAGACAACACAGATGGCGTGAGGGAGCCATTTACCCAACTTAGTATCATTTGATCATGCTGCACCCAGGTTGTGTATGCGGGGTTGATTGCAACGGCACCAGGGAGCTGTTTGGGAGGGCATGCGATGGACCCATCGACATAACCCATAAGGTCACGACTCTTAAGGATTGGTAGGATCTTAGCCAACCACAGAGGATAGTTGGTTCGATCCAATTTTATGTTGACAATTGTAGTCATGGACAATAAGGGGTTCATGGCAGGGATTGCTGGGTTGGGAATGGAATTGGTTGGGGTTGCAGCACCATTCAAGTTATTAGCCATTGGAAAAAAAAAATTAGGATCTGTGTTGTTGGACTACTAGGGCTCGTATACCATGTAAGACTTAAGAATACTCAAGAGTTCACTTCAATTGCATGTCTTTTCAATGAGAGACTGTATGCATTTATATTCCACTTCAGATTACATCAGGGAATGAAATCCCTATTTACAAGGCTATTGAAAATTCAAAAATTACAACAGAATATACAAAGGAAACATATCACAGAAACAACAAACATTTAAAGGAGTTGTAACCTAAGCTAACTCTTTGTAGATAAAAGTTTAGGTTGATTGCAACCTCCTGAAGTCACGGGAACAGGAATCAAACACTGACTTGGTCTAACAGTTTGCAGGTCCACCAGGGGTTGCAAGCTGCGGTTGTGATTGTCCACTACAAGCTTCTCCACTAGATTCAGTATTAGAGGAGTCAACAACCATATGTCTTTGAACCTGAGGAAGTGCTGCATATCCAGGAGGCCTTCACACAAGAGGGCGTAGTTTGTATGGGTCTAGTATGCAGCATTCTATGCAGTGCAACATATCCAAATCATATGTATCAAGCACACACTCTCACAAGCAACCTAGGAACAAATTAAAATACAATGGAAACATGTGACCACTCCTCCAATAAAATGTAAACTAACACTTACGATAAAGGTGTCATTACCATACTTGTCTGTTTGCAGAAGGATATACATGAGACTTCTAATATATCGATGCAGCAGTAGCAGCAGCTCGGAGCCTGGCTTCATATTGGCTCACACGATCACCCGCAACTCCACCATCCTGAGACGTTGTGCCTGTCCCTGTTCCCAATTAAAATCATCAGTCAACTCACCATAATTTTATACTGAACGGCAAAGCCTTATATTCCATCCTCAACCATCGCACAAACCCTAAAACAAAGTCTTTTATTCTAACTAGGAAACTAAATAATAATAAAATAACTTAGAAAATAAAGTCCTAATTAAGCTAGGAGAATCTGCCAAGGTACTTGTCTAGCTACGTTTCAGCCTCAGATATCCTCCAAATCCGGCCCATAATATCTTGTTTTGAAGATTAGGACGTTTTGAACATATTTCCAGAAGGCCACGAACTTATCCGAGGTCACCTTAGACTCCAAAAACGCAATTCAAACCCAAAATGTCATTATTTCAATACTGCACATCACTCGTTTATTTTATTGCTAGACAATCACCGTTAGGTAGAAAATTTTCAAATTTTAACACAATCAAGCCAAATGACTCATGAACGTCCTCCACTTGGAATTACTCCAAAATTCATCTATTTGACCACATTTTGCTCCAGAGGAAGTCGAAAGTCATATATTAGAAATACAATTCAAAGTATCACAATTCTTCTAAAATATTAATTAAAATATACTAAGAATAGGGTTAAATATATAATATAAAATCGACTCATCAATGAGCATCTGACTATGAACCCCTATATGTCCGCCAGCTGTACCTTTCCCACTGTCAGGAGGTACAACTAGGGCCCTGCAAGGAGGTCAGGTATGCTTTTGCTCTAACCATTATCGAAGGCAAGGCACATGAAAAAGGTGTCCACATAATAGTTTCTTGGCTGTTGTATCTCTTCACGGCAAATGATACAAGTTGCGTCACTTCTGCATATCCATCATCAACAACTAAGACTCCAATATGCAAAATTTGATGATTGCAAAATAAAACACTTGAAACTAATGAGACCTTAAACTTACGCATTAAGTTCTTCATGCGTAGCATCTGGGAATTGATCATTCATGTTTGATGTGAGCTTTCGATAACGAATGTAATCAGCAATGCGAATCTTAAAGTTCCTAAATGTTTCATAGAGCTCACGTATCAAGTGCAGTGGCACACCATAGTACCTGGGATGGGACAAAACTTAACGTCAATCAAGATAGAATGACCTCAGCTTATGCACGTCAACAATCAAAAATCTCCACATGCCTAAAACTTAAATCGGTAGGATTTCGGCCCAACTATTGTCTCATATTCTAACATTTCATGTCCACAGCTTCTCCGCCACATGGGAGCGAAACATGTTGCAATCAACACAGATTGAGCCAACACATTCTCAAAATTGTGTCATATTTAGCAAAAAATTGTGTATATAGCTACTTATCTAAACCAAAATATATCACGAAGAAGAAGCTGCGGACAAAGGAGATTTCTTCTTATCTTGTGTAAGTAGTGGACAAGGGAAGAAGATTCCTCTTGTTCCTAGATAGTTTTAGAAGAGTTTCGGGAGAGTTTCTCCTTAGCCTATAAATATGTGTGTATCCTTTGTAAGAACTCAGACTTGAATGGAAATCAGTTCTTTGTATTAACGTCTCTTGTTAATCCTTTTTTGAGTCATCTTTGCAGCGGTGACGCTTACCGTGATCATCTGTGTTTTCAACTATGTCTTGGGGTAAAATTCCTTACCCTCCTTTGTGTTAGTGCATAAGTGTTTTGCAAGAAATGAACATTGGTCCCTACAAATTTAAAAGCTTCGATTAAATGTGAGCTTTGGATCATAGTCCAAGTGTGCATTTCAGATTCATTTAGTTAAGTGATTGTTTTTTCCACATGTAACTATCTCATAGGGTAGATTGTTTGAATTATTGGATTTTCTTTGATGTAACTGAGAGAGACTCTCATCTCTTTCCTCTCTCTTTGTAACGGTAATATGCTCATTACACTTAGTGTGTGAGCTGTGAATGGAATTCAACGATTGTTAGCACCTTCCTTTTCTCTCTGCCATTTTCGAGCAACCTGCAAATCTGCAGGACTCATCCTCACAGCCTCCATTGATAAACACTCAAGCTAAAACATACTCACTTTGTATAACAATTGAAAAAAATTAATATCAATTTCTTTTATGAGATAATAACGAATTTGTATGTAAGTCACAGAACTCAGAACTGCAGTAGGAGACACAGCTATTAAGGTGAATAGATCACAATATTACGATGGCATTTCAAAAACAAACCAGGGATATAGTTATTACCATAGGAAAACTGGTAGACGCTACATCAAACACATAAAAGTTTTTCCAGTCTAGGCACGTACCTAAATTAATTCCCCTGCTCCCTCTCTCTAGCATAATTGACAGCTTAATGCAAAAAAAATTAATTTGATCAATTTATTAGCAGTGGTGCTGAATATGTTAGTATATAATTAAAGTTAAACTTGCAGGTCTGGGCTTTTTTGGCTTATTGATGTCGTCTGGGATCACTGGGGTTTATTCCAGTGTGAAAGACGGAAGTTCTTTAATCTCAAAGCCAGGTTCTTCCAGCAAAATGGAGGGTTATTGTTAAAGCAGCATATTGCTTCACATATTTCTTTGATGGTGTTCTGAAGATAAGGCCAAGTAAATTTTAATTTTAGTACGAATACAAAGCGCATTGATCATCATATTTCTTTGATGGAAACTTTTCCTCTTGTTCTTGAGTCGTTGATCGCCACCAAATAGGCGACAATCTACGAAGCACGGACATGCCAACTTAAGAGCGTATCCCGTATCAGATACGGTATGGGATACGATACGCACCCGATATGTGCCAATACGCTCTGGATACGTATCTGAATGTATCCGTTGACCAGTGGACATCTGGATACGTCGTCGATACGCTTTTGATACGCGAATCCGACATTTTGAATACGCAACAAAAGCACCTTGACGATGAAATGATCTAACCAGAGGAGGGGGAGAGAGCGGGAGGGGGAGAGAGAGAGAGCTCTGTGAAGAAGAGTGTCAAAACGGTGAGATCTGCAATTGGAAAGAAGGCGACGGCGGCAGATTCTATTGTGCTAGATACTTAAGGTTTTTTTGAAGTCATGTGATATTTTCTTTTCAAACCAGGGCTTCCGTTTTATGAGAAAATAAGGCCATATATTTATATTTATATTAGAAAATGATGCATATTTTTTAGCATCCATGCCGTATATATTTATATACAACTATTAATATATATATATATATATTAATATACATCAATGTATATTTTTAATTAACGTATCCACGCCGTATTGTATCTTAATATTTAGAAAATAGCCGTATCACCGTATTCGTATCCGTATCCGTGCTACATAGGCGACAATACAAAACCTGTTAAATTCTACTGACATATATATCCGGAATAGAAGGGACTAACTACATGCTGTCCCAATTTATTGTCATGAACATTGACCCAGCTTGAAAGCTTTATAAAAATTGTTAGCACGGAGGCATTCCTTGTGGCGGAGGTGAAATTTGTGCTCCTGGGCCCTTTCCATTTTTCACTATGAATGTCACGTCCATGCCCCATGACATATGCCGATCGATATGACAGTGCATAAACCAAACGCCTACACACAACGACAACAACAACAACAATTTGTCATATGATCTAATCATTAATTAATATAACTAATTCGAGGCGGTTAACTAAAATTGGAAACTGAAAACTCATATGGTAATTATTAAACGGCCCCTTAGATAATATCTTTACTAGAGATGACTAACGTCTTTATTAGTTACGTACCAGGATTGTTTGCTTTGAATCTAATGGTAGTCCAACCATTTACAGGAACAGCGATGGTGTTCTGAAGAGGAGGATCAACAAGATTACGTCAAAGGGTCCTTGTCCTTGTCAAAATTCCCCAATCCCCATCCCACAACGTAGAAACTGAATCCATGTAGATGCATCGGATGGTCATCACCTGCCACTATATTTGTCCCCTGAAACACTATCTCCACCGTTGAGTTGTACTCCAGTATCTTCACCTCTGTCGCTCGCTTCGTTGGGAGTAGGTACAACGGCAAGTTCGGAGCTGTAAAATTAAATAGCAAGGGAGGGAAATTTGGAAAGCGAGTTCCAAATACCCCATTCACATGGTAATAGTAAGCTTGCAATATGTCAATGGTGGGGTTGACAAAGCTAATGTTGTTGACACTGGCGGCAAAACGAGTCCCATTAGGCCCAGCACATGAATTATTCGGGCAGGGTAGTAAGTTGACGGAGATTGTAAAGAACAAAGGAGTTGTAATCATTTGTGGCACGTCAACGGGGTGGTTTTTATCAGCCAAGCTTTTGAGTTTACTGGTAAAGTGAACCGATGCGTTGGTGTTGTTATGGGAAGGAATATTAGGCAAAGAAGTAGGAGATGAACTAAAATTTCCGTGGTATTGGAGTATGGCAGTGGCGGTTGTGTTGTCGGTGGGAATCCCAACCCCGCCAACGTAGGCTTTTGCAGCAATGTAGTAGTTATTGGGGATTTGGTCGGCATTTAACAAGAGGTCAATGGTTTGGCCGGGAGATATGGTCACATAATCTGTTGAAAATGGCTTGGTGTAGCTAGCATCTGAGCCTACAACCGTGACGTTGTGATTAGCAATGGCGAAAAACGTCATCACTTGCACGGCGGAGTTGATTAATCTGAGCAGGTAGGTTTTGCCGTAATCAACTTTGAGCTTAAATGTGTCTGGTTTTGAGCAAGGATAGAGATCGCCGGGTTGACCATTGATGAGGAAAGCATTTGAAGCATTAGCGTCCGCTCCGCTTTGAATGGTTTCATTGTAAAGTTGTCCGATATCTTCCTTCCACCACTCTCCTAGAATTTTCAAATCAACAATTTGCAGAAAAGTTAGGATTGTAATTTGGAAATGTTTATATAGAAATCACTATGCTCATAAGGTCAGAAATCTCTGCAATTGAATAGTGAAAATTTTAATGAAAATGCAAGTAGAAAATGCCCGAAAAAACCTTTTAACTTTAGCTGTCACAAGCGTTTTTAGTTATTTGAAAGTGTTTTTATTTATTTGAAAGCGCTTTAATCTATTCTATAAGTGCTTTGTGGAACTGACGTTTGAATTGATTTGCATACCCAAGATGATTGGAAATTCAGCGTGAGGTTTGGGAAAAGGGTAAGTGGCTCCCTTCTTGGGGTATATGACTATAGCACCGTGGACGGTGGCTCGATCCCACTGGCTGTGAGCATGCCACCATAGAGTCCCTTCCTCTGAGGAAAATATAATGGTTTGGGTAAACCTGGCTCCTGGTTGAATAGGACATTGCGTGATGTAATCAGGACCGTCTGACCATGGATTCCTCAGTTGCTTAACTCCATGCCTGAAATAGATGGTTCAGAGTTGTAGAATCATATCATGAATTTATGTAAAAGCCGGATGAGACTACATGCACTGTATAAAGTTGATTAATTACCAGTGGATGGTAATGTTACGATTGCCCTTGTTATAGATATCCACTACGATAGTATCTCCAGCATGAACATACAACGTTGGTCCGGGAAACTGGCCGTTTACAGTCAAGATGTTCTTTGTGCTACACAGTCGTTTGTATGGAGTTTCTTCCACCTAAAATTGATTTTTACAAACAACAGAAGCTATTCATTAATATCCTTGAAATCACAGATATGTGTGTATGCGTATATGTGTGTATATATATGCATTTTAAGTTAACATACTATAGTCGGAAAATGGAAAGGGATTATTAAAAAAATCAATTCAATTATCAGTTACATCATATGGTCTACAAAATAAATAAATTGTCACTCATGCAATTCATACATCTGCATCAGAATTCAGAACTGAACTGGAGTTAATTACCACAAAAGTGTAGCGAGGAGGCGAAGCTTGGCAATGGAAGATGCCAACAGTAGCTAATAACAAGCCGACTACAAGTTTCAAGCTAATTAAAATCTTCATGCTGATCGACGACGATATTGATTATTCCTTTCCTATGTCTTTAACAGATGTAGTTCGCATGATAAGTTGAGGATGGACACACACACACACACACATTATATATAAGAGATAAAAGCACAGGAGCCTATTGTACGTAATCGAAAATTAAGTAATTTACTGGTGAAGTTTAAGGTTAACAGTGGATGCTATGGTAAGCACGTTCTAAAAATCTCCACCTAGGCGTTAGGCGACTGGTCACCATCCCGATTAATTCCTTGACGTTTGAAAATTAAGAAATGACGCTACCTACTTAGGCATCCGTTTAGTCCACCTAGACAGGAGCCTAGACCGCCTATACCTATCTAGGCATCAGCATATGTTGCAACTCTTACTTGGATTGAAAATTGATAACTTACAATTTGCATTTTATTTTGTTTCATAAATGTAAGAGACTTGTTGAATACGATGAGCAATCATTATACATTTGTTCCTCATGTTTTTAATATGTTATAAAATTGTATAATCTATATATCATTTTATTTTGCAATTTATGTATTACAATACAATTATGCATGTTTTTAAGTAAATAAACACTTATTAATACAAGATATAATAAATTCAATTAAATCTGCTTAGTCTGTCTAGGTCCCAACCCACAACTCAACTAGCGTCTAACATCTTTTAAAACCTTAATGCTAAGTAAGAAGTGTTCATAAAACATTGTCCTTAATATCGCCACTATTTTGGTATCCAAATATTCAGAGGGAGGGTGAAAGGATCTAAAACTAAGAAGTAGCTAGCACTCCTCCTTCCACCTCCCTCAATCCTCCTCCTCACGCCGTCATGCGTGAATCGCGATTACTAAATAAATTAATATTATAATTATTTTTGTAGCTTTTTTCAACCTTTCTATTTTTTTTATCAGTGAGAAAGGTCAGCTTTCACCTAATTAATACAGTCTAATCAGAATTCCTTCATTTCCAATCTAAAGTAATTGAACT